TGTAGTTTAGTTGATTTACCTTTGCTTACTAGACTTATGTAAGGGTGCTCTTGTTAGACTAAACTTGGATAGTGCTTATTAGGGCTATCTTATTGTGTCACAACTTTTGCTAGTGTTGTACCTTGTATAAATTTTAATTAGGCTATTCAGCACCCCCCTCTAGCCATCTAGAGATGCTTTTAGAAATGCACGTGCCGGACATTGGAGGAGATGACCAGCTAGACTCAGTGCAGAGCTACTGTGTGTATCAACGGACCAAACAGTCTAGCCATTGGAAGAATAGAACGCCAGACAATTGAAGATAGAGACGACCAAGAGAACATTCCACGCTAGAATATGCGCTAGATCACTCACCAGATGGTCTGATGTGATGGCGCGGGAGGCTAGCAGATCATCTAGTATTGTGTAAAGGCATGCATCGGATGATCCTGTGATAGGAAGTGCACAACGGCGTATTGTTCAATGTACATCAGAGAGGTAACCATAGAAGATTGCATGCACCAGACTATACGATGGGTGAAGGAAAGACATCACCGGACCATCTAGCAATTGGAAAATGGCAACGGCTAATTCAACGACTGGTAGCACTATATGATTCGGGAGGTGAATATTTTGAATGTGGTGGATCGTCTAGTGCTCATAGTTTTCTGGTAGACTTCTTCCAATGGCTGGTTGAGGGGGATGAGACTATATATATGAGATTGCCTCACTTGCTTGAGTGTGCTGAAGTGTGCTAGAGTGTCCCAAGGTTGTTATAAGTTAGAGAGTGTTTCTACAGTCTATCTACCCTTTGAAGTCATTTGACAAGATCACATCCAATGCTAGGATAGGCACTATTGTGCATCCCTTTGAGATTTAGGCATTAGAGAACCATGTATAGGATGGGCACATTACTATTTATTTTCTCACCAATTGAGCCCATCCACGACTGCCATGAATCTTATATTAAATATTTCAGCAATAAAACTATATCAAAGGAAAAAAGTTTCGACTATAAAGTTTTATTTAGTTATCATCAAACTCTATAACTTTGGTATGGGGCATGTCTCCATCCGAGGTCATTTCAAAAAATCAAAAAATTGAATTTCAAATTCTAAGGACTTGAAATTTAAATTTATACCCCTAAATGATCTTAAATGAAAAAGGCCATCAACTATAAAGTTTTAAATCACATCAAATTATGTTCCCAAAAAAATCACATCAAATTATAAAACATTGATATAAAATTTATCTTAATCTGACTAAAATTTTAGAAAGGTTATGAACTATTTCTTTGCTAGGTATTTTTAGGGCAATGGCTCCTGGAAAACTACCCCTAAAAATACACATAATTTTTAGAGTCGGTTGACATAGAAAACCGCCTCTAAAAATATAATTTTGAGGGGGTAGTTGTTTTATGGTAACCGTGTCCAAGAATAGGTAGATTTCTAGAGATAATCTATACCTAATAATAAAGAGAGAAAATTTCTCTCCACCCTGAATATGGTCCGGCCATTTTTTGGTCCTCCTCTCCATAACTACCGCACAAAAAAATTCTCTCCACCCTGAACTTGGTCCTGCCATTTTTTTGGTCTGCTTCTCCCTGACTACCGGACATTAGAGAGTTTCTTCTGTTCAGATTTATATGACCCGTCCTCGTACAAGTTAGAATATATCACATCTAGCTATGATCGATACGGGGTTCGATTCCGTGTCTTTTCTTCCATCTATCTATGTCTATTATAATGCAAAAGGTAGAAAAAGACCTAGGCGTATAGGAAGAGGAATAGGAAACAAAAGAAATAACCGACACAACATATACACCAATCCAGAACATAACTCCTTTGGATGGAAACTAATCAAATCTTGAGTTATATATGGAGTTGTACACCTCCTTCGGACAGAAACTAATCAAATCTTAAGTTATATATGAAGTACACATTTTTCGGTTAAATAAAATAAGCTACATCCACGCACCGATGCAACGACTTTTTGGTTTCCAAAAAAGAAACGTGATGGAGTCGGATATGTGGGTGAGGCTGCCATGTGATCTACTCATCGAGATCTTCCGCCGCCTAGGGCAAATCGCAGTCGTCCGATGCGCCGGTGCTTGCACCGAAAACGGAACGCGCATCGCTACACGGAGCTGCAGCACGTGCCGGGACTGTTTGAGAACGTAATAACCTCGGACACCGCCCGACACGACGGTCCGTTTTTTCACACCGGCGGCCACCGCGTGCAGCGTCGACATCAGTATGTACGCCACCGTCGGCTCCGTGCGACGGGTTCCTGCTCCTAGGCGCGTGCAACCCGCTGACCAGAAGCTGTAGGTTTCCTCCCCGCCGCCGAATTGAGTGCGGCGTCCGATGAGTCGTCGTGCATTGGGTATGTTCTGGCCACATGCTACGACGACTCCCCATCCTATGACGGCCGCGGCGGCCAGTCGGCGGGCGTATGGATGCTCGCAGTGGAGACGGCACACGACCTCAGGGGCGGCATGACCTACTAGTTCTTCTCCTCTAGGTCCGGTGCGTGGGGCGCATTCAGACGCTCGGCGAAGTTGAACGGGAAACTGGCCCAGGCGTACACGAACATTGTGCCAAAAGACGTGGTCATCTGCCGTGGCGCCGTGTACTGGCTTGATCACCATGGGAGACTAAGCTGGTGCACGTTCGCCGTGGACATGCGCACCGAACAGACGTGGAGGTGGTGTTTCGTACGTCGGGATCTCAGGAAAAGTGCCGCGCCTGCTCGACGATCCTGGTGTGCGGTGTCCGGTAACTTTTTTTTTTTTTTGTCCTGTGCGGCTTTTTTTTTCTTTCCCGATGAAGTAACTCTTTGTCTTTTCTTATAAAAAAGGTAAATAATAAATAATAAATCAGTATTACGTGTCTTTATAACTTTGCTCTTAACTAATAAACAAATATCCTCTCGTTAAGTTGTTGATATAGTTTTGGTTAGACATAATTATTATTATAAGGTAGATGGCCTAACTAATCAAAGTATAAACCGAAATCTTAATCATTTTGTCATCCAATCTAATCAAAATAAATATTTCTCATAGCTGTCCGCGTATACCACATAGCTGTCCACATGTACCATTGCAAATCTCAAAGCCGTCTGCATATGCCAATGCAACTCTCAACGAGGGCTGACATGTGGAAATCGAGAGAGGTATCTATCATACTTAGGTACCGTTTAGTTGGCAAAATTTTTGGCGAAATGCCACTGTAGCACTTTCGTTGTTATTTAGCAATTAGTGTCCAATCATATTCTAATTATGCTTAAAAGATTCGTCTCGTAAATTTCATCTAAACTGTGTAATTAGTTTTATTTTTTATTTATATTTAATGCTTCATGCATGCGTCCAAAGATTCGATGTGACGGAGAATCTTGAAAATTTTGACATTTTGGAGTGGAACTAAATAGGGCCTTAGTACTCATCAACGGATAGACCAATTCTTGACACAAGGATGACTAACCCCTTGCCGACTTTAATAAGGTATTAAAATTACATATATTTTTTATCAAACTATATATCTAACTCTATCAACATATGGATAGTATGAAAACTAAACTTATGATATTACGAGTAAATATTTTTGTGCCTTGCGATGAAAGAAAAAAGTGTATCAAGGTTAATTTTAATTCAATACATAATCAATAGGAAATTGACATATTATATCTATTATAGATGTCATGATCATGACAAAATGTAGTATAGTTTTTAAATTTTATATTTTACAGAAAAAATAAAAGAAATAGATATGTAACAATGTGGTTCGTGTTTCTATTAACGAGTGATTATTGCTTCAACCACTCACAACATCAAAAGGAGCACATATACAAATTAAGCTTAGCCGCTGCAGCTGTGCAACAAACTGAAGCAAAGAGGTCAAACGTTTAATAGCTTTTTTCTCCCATTACGACATACGGGAATGTTTGCTAGTATTAATTATCAAGCCAACCATCACTAAAAATCAATTCCTAGTTTATTTTTTTAATACTTTATGAGTATTTCTTATTTTTTTATGGGGAAAGATTATGGTGTATCCGCCCCCTGAAAATCAATTCCTAGTGTTTTTTATGAGTGTTTCTTTTTTTTATATATGGGGAAAGGTGGTGTATCCGGCTATCCGCTAGACCAACTATAGCAACCGCAAATCCAACTACAGCCGCTTCAGTTACTAGGTGACGCTGGCATCCACTAGATGTGTGCATGGATTTGCGTCACACACTCACAACACTTGTTATGATGCTTCTAGAGAATTCGGCACGGGATAGCAGGCTATCTTCGTGAGCACGAGTCTGTGTGTGGTGTTGCCGGACGAGAGGCGTTAGTTGATCTGCAAAACCATGGCCGGTTTTAATTCGGCTTTGCATGCCCCGGTTATCGCCATGGATCCGCCTGAATTCTTTCCGAAACCCCGCTACATTTGGATCACAGGTTCCTGAAACAATAGGCTCACAGTCCGGGCAATGGAAGTTGGAACCCTGTTTCTTTATCATGATTCAGTTTCTGAAACATATCAGAGTTTTCCAGTTGGAGCAGTTGAGACTACAGAGACAGGCAGAGAGACATTTCTTCATGCCTGCCTCTGCCTGCAACACAACTGAGAGTTTGTGAACATCAAAGCGTGCACAGATGGCAGAACGCCACATTTCTGACAAAATAAACAACTCTTATTTCATTGCCCTGTTCGCTGGTTGGTGCTGGTGCTGGTTTGGGCTGGCTGATGCTGGTTTTTTTGTGAGAGAAAAACATTGTTGACTGGTTGAATATACCTGGCTGAAACTAACAAGCGCAATCCAGCTCAGCTATATATACTTAGAATGTATCATGTCCGGCCGCTACAACTACAAGCAGATGGTAATTAACATGTAAACAGTGAGAGTATACGATCGAGATGATCAGGTCTCGCTATATATAACTGATGCCGCTTGCAGATGCAGCTGATCCTCTGAATATGACGACAATCACGGCCGGCACGCAGCGCTGAGCTTGTCTGGTTGGAATTGGATCAGTACTGGTCGGGCCAGAGGAAGGCGCCCATGGCGAAGCGGCGCTTGCTGTCGAGGTCGCCGTCGGCGGGGAGGCCGTACTCGCGGAGCAGGCAGTCGACGCGCCACTCCGGCATGGCCTCGTAGTCCGCCTTGTTGTAGCGCGGGTAGTGCAGCGGCATCCGGAAGCCGCAGCCGCCGCACCTGCTGCCGCCCTCCTTCCTCTCCATCTCCGGCTGCTGGCCACCGCCGGGCTTGGCCATGATGCTTAAGCTCACGGTGGGGCCCAAGGATCCCATGCGCGCAGGGTGGAAGTGGAAGCTGCTGCTCTGAGCACTCTGCGCGAGAGGCTGTCGCTGCTTGGTGGCTTTGAGTGATGCGGCTCGAACGGCCTGGCGTAGAGGTGCTTTTATAGGAGAGTTGTGTAGGCCCTCCTTGTTGGCACGCATTCTCCAGGGAAAAGAAAAAAAAAGGAAATAAAATCTGTGGGCATATCTCTATATTCATGTGAAAAAAGAAAAGGACAATAAAAAAAATATTTCGAGTATTTCAGGGATGTTGGTTACCTAGGATGAGGCTGCATGAGTTCGGCGTGCACTGCAGAATGGCTTGCGCTGCAAGCGTTTCCGTTCCACAAAAGATGTGACGTGCTGTGGTAGCACTCAGGTATTTGCTGGCAAGGCGTTGCTACTATGGGCGACGCCAAACTAGGGGCATTCCAAACGGCAAACCTCCTTTCGGCAAATCTGTTTCACGGCTCTCTCTCCTAGTTTCGATTTTGTTGTCTAGCCGGAATGGACATCTCTCCAATCCAAAGCAATTAAAAAGGACACATCTTCAAGGGAGAATCTCACATTGGCACATCGAAAACAATCCTTTTCACATGGTGCCGTTCACAGAAGGTTAACAATGTACGTACATGGTGAAGCCCTTTTTTTTCCCCTCTTATTAAGAAGGCAACGAGGGCACGACGAGAAGAGCCCGGTGAAGAGGGGAACCACCGTCCGAACAAGAGCTTGTTACAAGATTCAGTTCAACTTATCGATCAGTCGCCCGTTTCCTTCGTGCAGCATATCAGTTGCTGTCTTCATCTGATGTTTCTTAATTGCAGCATTACATTGTTGCAAGCTTAGAACAACTGCCAACATTCACGGATATTTGGCACCAAAAAACGGCCGGATGCCGTTTCAAGCTTGATTCCAGCATGAGCTTTTGCTCTGCGCTGTGAACAGAAGAAATATCTCCACAGGCAAACTCTAGAATATAGATGAAGCGTACCCAAAAGGAATATCTAAGGAAAATGCTAACTTTACAAGCTGCCTTGCCTCCCTCCTTTTTGTCGCATCATCAACGTAAAAAAGAAAATACTAGGCAAACCGACTACGATTCAAGTATGCTGTACCCAATGGACAGATTCACCGCGTGGTTTAATCTAACTCGTCCTAGTGATACAGAAGGCATAGAATTGTGCTCAAGAAGAAAAGGTGCTCCTCAATTAAGCACTGACCAACTATATTATCATTATGTCCAGTGTTAATGTTCTCAAGAGACTGTCTCTAATGTTCATAAGCTTTTTCACAGAAGGCTGGAACTTTGTCTACCTTTGTCACATGAGATTATGAAGAAACAAGCATATATCCTTGCTAAGCAAAGTATATGAAAACTCAATCTGAAATTGTTGTAGCTGGGTTGGGGACTTGGGCAAGTCATCTATTGACCAATCCTTGCGAAATTAAAGCAAGGTCCAATACTCACAAGGTCAGATGGCTGCGCGCCTGCGCCTTTATAGCCCAGAGTGTCTTGGGCCACATTGAAGCCAAAATTTGTCTTGAGGAAGAGGGAAGAATCCAATTCAATACTGCGGATAAAAAGATACAGCATAGAGTGTATGTTTCCAATGGCGGAGAGTGGCAGAGTACTTGGCCCAAGGAGAGAATTCAGACTCAAGCAACTAAACAGATACTGGCATACTGTATGTACCGATGAAGCAAGCTATCTATACATGTAGAGCCTAAAATGGAGTTATTGAATTTGAATCTCAGAGCAGGCACACTATTCAATAGATTCTGGAAGGCTAGAGCAAACAAATAGTGAGAAGCCAATAAAACCACCTACTGTACATCAATAACTGCCTCATAGTTACCTGAGATACTGCAACAAGTGCCATGCCAATCACTTGTTTGCAACATTGGGGCTCAACAACTGCAATAAAATCATTATCCAATATGCATATTTGATTTTTTTTCATGTATACATTTTGCAAAGACTTCCATAATCCCAGATGGGGGCTTTATTCGCATGTCATGGCATGTATCTCACAAATTACAATGCATATGCTTCAGATCAAGGGTTGGCTCGAGGTGACACATTATGCAATGTGCTCCTTATTAGGTACATACTGAATCAAGTAATTTAACAATGCTATGGTTTTCGTGAAATTAATCACAGTAACAGTGTTGTGCTTTCTTTTAATTAAATAAATGACAAATGCTAGAATGGAAAGCCATTTCTAACTGATGATAATAAAAAAGTCAGTATGATGATGAATGCTAGAGATTTCCTAGTTGAAAAATTATCACAACATACATAGATCTTGGAAGACATGAATGACTGAGGATTTGGCCAATGAGCAGTTAGTCCAGTTTGAATCTTTCCTGAAAAGATAACTACATGATAAATTATAAGCAAAAATAAGACTGCTGGCGTAGGGAGCAAAATAGTGTACTTTTTTGCAAACATGACATAACTCATTCATTGCATTTCTCAGTTCTGTACCAACTCCATTAATGCAAAATTGTGGATACAAGGTGAGTGAGTAGTTTTGCTCTATTTGAAGAATATTTGCATTTGCATGGATTTCCTTTCCCTAGACAACAAGATCAATCAGCCTCCATCTTTTACCTGGCTAAAAATTGGAAAGCTTGTATTGGCATTGGCATTGCATGCTCACTGCACAGTTGATTGACCTTTTCTGAAACATTAAACTAACCATAGCTCCATAGCTGTTGAGATTACAACCATAAATTTCTGAACAGATGACTCAAATAGAGCTGGGCTGCAGATAGTCAATTAACCCATCAATCAACAGTGCCTTACCCTCCTGATCAATGGGTTAGCTAACAATGCCATGAACCTACTTTGATGTTACTGGCAAAGTTTGTGGCAATTCAACAAGCATGTGCACAGGCATAAAATACATCTGCAGGGAAATTATACAAATGATAATGCCCAAGAAGAGCTGCAAAACGAGGGTTAAAGCACGTGAGTACAAATAAAGTACTACAAGAACCCCAACGCAACAGGACTACAATACAGCCAAAGTATAGCACCTGAATTGTAGCTTTCACACTGAAAAGATATATAGATAAAACCATCGTCAAAAGCATTGCCATTGAAGTTGAGTACACCTATTAAAACAGAGGTATAAAATTAAATAGACCGCATAACAACATTCAATGATCATCCGATTAAAAAGGTCAAGTGAGTTCAGGGACAAGCTTTGACAACATAAATGTACCAAACCAACTCACAATAAATTGCCTATGTAGAAATAGCCAATTTCTATTCCGAAGAGGAAGTCCACTAATTTTTAGAATTTTTAATTAGTTAAAGTGATTCACCTACTATGGAACATTTCAGAATGGAAAATGTACAAGTTTTATCTTGCTATCGACCTTTTCTAGTTTATTAATTTTGTCTAATGATTAATTAAGAGTAAGAGGATTCACCAGGTCATTGATATGGATAATATCCAAATACCAAATACGCTCACTGTGTGATCCATGGAAATAAAAGTGAATTGTTTTGGTTTTGGTGAACATCAAAGAAAAAACTTGCTCTTCTTCCGTAAAAACTTCTAAAAATACCGAACCCAATCATGAGAAATTTTAAATTTTCAATAGAGCAAAATTCTTGTCACGCACTATGAACTGCTTCATAAATCCTGTTGTCAGACACAGGATGTACATAGTTCACTTTGCATGTTTCTTAAGAATAGATGTACAGCACATCCTAGGCATGCAATAAAAAGGCCAGAACAGTCACATAAACCATTGTTAAACAAGTACCAACACAGGAACTTGACATAAGAAAACAAATATAGCTTCACTTTACAGGCATTAGGAAGAGACATATGGTCAAAGTTTTTAGCGGTGCATATAAAGTGATAAGACTGAGGGTTAGTTTATGGTGGTTGTGCTGCAATTGTTTCTAAGCTGCAGCAGAAAGCAATTAAAATAGATTGTAATTTGTTTTGGAAATTAACCTAATGTTCCATATATTCTGCTACCTATTGTCCCACTGTTGTTTCTGTAATTACTGATCTATGCTTTGAAGCGGTTATATACACACCAAAACTTTAAAGCGGTTGAAACAATAATAATCCACCTCAATGGCATAGGGAACCTGAGTGATCTAACCTTGACTATATTGTCAGAATACTTCATCAACCATGATACTAGCAGACCAGTAGATCCTAAATTGAACACTACCATCCATGTTGTGATCGAATAACCATTAAAAAGGCGCTGCCACCATGGACCCAGCTCAAATCCAGCTTTAAAATCACCATAAATTAGCCAGCCCATGTTGAACATAACTCCAAACCTGCACATAAGAGAACATCAAAGAGTTTGTCGTGCTTGCTGAAACATATTGCTGATAAAGATGTATGCACAGCTGCACACATGGTTTCTGGGCATGAGAAATTACTGATAACGAACCAGTGTTAGATATAGATACCTACGTATATAATTGTACATTTTGCCAGTACAAACTATCATTATTCTTCTTCATCAAGTACTCTGTGTACACACCAGCTAGAGCTGAAAGACAAGCAGAAAGTATTCCAAGCATGTAACCCTGCAATGGTGCTGAGAAAAGAGAATCACATGGTGCATCTCCACATCCTTTCACCTGTAAGAGACAGTATGTTTAATCTCAGTCGAAATCTAGTTACTAAACACAAATCACAGCTACAACCAATATAAATATTATAAGTTAATCCATACAGTGTTTCATTTGAATGAAAATATCAAATGTTGCAAACAGAAATCAATTTGCATTGATAGGCTATTACTCCCTCTGTTTCTTTTCAAAAAGCGTATTAGGATCCGGGAAAATCCTTAGAAATGTACTATGACAACAATATATCATCAGTGGTTACAAATTAATTCATATTAAAATATATGTGCAATGTGAATCTATCAGCATGACTTTTATCTACTAAGCGCGCATATAATTTAAATAATTCCTGATCAAAAATTACAAAAAGTCTGACTTTTGCAAATCCTAACATGGC